CCCCCCCCCCCCCCCCCCCCCCCCCCCCCGTCGGGCTGCTCCCTTGGGCTGGGACTGGGCCTCACTCCAGCAGCACCTTTTAGAGGAGCCAGAGCCACGGGGAGTGTGCAGACCTGCCTTCCCATCCGCCTGTGCTTCTCACGAACCCGCATTCGCAAATACACGGGCAAGGCACGGGCCACCCAGGAAGTGTGGCTTCCCACCTTCGTGCTCGTTGCAATTCCGCACAAACAAGCCTGTGGGTCTTCCCCCCCCTTGAGGGAAGCCAGTGGTGTTTTGGAATGGGGCCTCCCTCTGGCTGGTCTCCGTGCAGGAGAGGAGCGTCACTGCGGGGAAGGAGCAGGTGCGGGAGAAACGAACGCCCCCAGGGGGAGCTGTGGGAAGGGCAGTCCGAGCTGTGGACCAGGTGCCTTCCAGAAAGCTGTCCCAGGGGCGTGTTAGGATGCTGTCTCCGGCCCTTCCCGGGATCTGACCCCAGTGAGCAGCCTGGTGTCTGGTGAGTGGGAGCCGGCACAGGCTGGCCTGGGGGCAGTGAGAGGGTGTGCACGCTGCCGGGGGCGCCCAACCCCCCCTCCCCCTGCACCAGGCAGGATGCTGCCCGGGATCCTTCCGGCCCCTGCTGCTTCCTTCCGGGGCCAAAGAGCTGATGAAGAGATCCCTGTGTTTTCTTCCACACCTTAAAAAATAAAAACAATGAGGGGCGCCTGGGTGGCTCCATCGGTTAAGCGTCCGACTTTGGCTCAGGTCATGATCTCGCGGTCTGTGAGTTCGAGCCCCGCGTCTGGCTCTGTGCTGAGGGCTCGGATCCTGGAGCCTGCTTCGGATTCTGTGTCTCCCCCCACCACCACCACCCCCCCCCCCGTCTCTCGGCCCCTCCCCTGCTCATGCTCTGTCTCTCAATAATAAATGTTTTTTAAAAATGGGAAAAAAATTAGAAAATACAAACAATGAAACAGATAATAAACCAGGGCCTCATGGCTGTAAACAGCTCCCGACACACCCAAGGGTCGCTTCACAGACTTCACACTTTAATCCCTGGTCTGAGAGGGTGCTGGCCACAGGCTTACTGCCTCGGAAAAGAGCAGCAGAGGCCAGGGAGGGAAGGGGAGGCCTCCTCCAGCGGGGGACAGGACTTCCCCGCGGCTCAGGGCACGGGGACGTGCGTCCCAGGAAGCTAGGCTGGCCTCCCTCCTTCAGCCCCGGTTCAGAGCTGGATCTCCAGGCTGTCCCGTGGGGCGGACTCCAGGGATCTCTTTTGCTTTAATAAGAGAGAGAGAGAGAGAGAGAGAGAGAGAGAGAGAGAGAGAGAGACCCTCGAGCCCCCCTGGCTCAGCCCACCTCCATCGTATTGGCCGTTACCGGGTCTCCCGCCAGGGGGCGTCCTTCCCCTGACGCGCTGACCCCCTCTCCCGCTAGGGGTCGCCCCCGCCTCTGCGGCCGCGCTGCCGGGCCTGGGTGCGGCCGGCGCCGGGGAGGCCGGGTGAGGCCCCCACCGGCCCGGAGAGGCCCGGCCCTGCCCCCGCAGACTCCCGGCCCCAGCGGGGCAGCCTGACCGACGGGTCCGCTGCCTCCTGAGTCAGGAGCTCCGGCTTTAAAGTCCAGTCACACCGGGGTTGGGGGAGGAGGCCGAGGCCGCAGCCGCTTGGCGCCTGCGAGGCTGCCCCTGCTCACGCTCCGCGTTGCTGTTTCCCTCCCTCCCGAGAATGTTCTCCGAACATGGCTCGGAGGAGCCTTAGGGCCTCAAGAGGTGTGGGCACAAACCGCTGTACCTCCCCGCGCAGAGCCTGGGGTCGGATTCTCTGCGCCGGTAGGGACCCGGCCTCCCGCCGCGCGCATCCTGTGCGTGCAGGCCTGGGCCTCCACCCTGCGATGTCGCACGCCATCTGCGGCCCCACAGAAGCCAAACTAGCCAGGGGGTGGGTCCGGGCACTTGCACTTGACACAGCAGAGCGTCAATGAACCAACGGCAAACTTGCCCCATTTTCCCAGCCCCCCCCCCCCCCCAGGATCCCTGAAAACCTGTAGTTTCAAGTGCATGAAAAACAAACTTCCTGCTCCTAAGGAGCCTCCCCAGATCCCTGGACTGAATCAACTTGAATCTCTCATCACAATGTCCCCGACAGGCAGCTTTTCCCCCAGCGGGGGGGGGGGGGGGGGGGGGGGGTGGTCAGAGCGAGCCCGGCCCCAGTCTCCACGGCTACGAAGGCTACGTGACTCGTCTTGGGTTCACACAGTAAATCAGCGAGGTGCGGACGGGCCCAGCCGCCTCCGCCCCAGCGCAGGGGCCCTGCCTGCTTCCGTGACCCAGGTCACCCCGCCAGTACAACAAAAACAGTCCCGTGACAACGTAACAGAGGTTATACTTTTATTTAACATTTAAGAGGGTTAACGTATAGTTACAAGGTCAATATAAGCCTTCCAATGGAAGCACTTTATTTGGTTTAATTCCATCTCCAGAGACAAATGGGCAGTTCCAGAACCTTCACAATGGCAATGGGCCGTTACAACACTTGAGATGCCTCCAAAGCTTAGAATTAGTGCCACGCGCACACATAAACTAAAAAGTTTAAAGGTGCTCAACGTCAGGTTAAAATAGAATTTTGGATCACTCTCTAAATAAGTTTGTTTTTGTTTTTTTAATGATAGAAGAAGCACAACGAGGCAGAGGCATGAGGAAGTATGAAACCAAGATTTCTGGAAAAATACTTAGCATCAATGTAACTTTTTTTTTTTTCCAGGTTCAGTAAACTTTCTCCTGTAATTACAGATGTCACCAGAAGGCATTAGGGGGCCCCTGTGCTACAGCTCATCTGGCCTGAGCCTCACAGCCTGGAAGCTTCGAGGCGAGCGCCATCAAAATCCAAAGGAAAATCCCATGACGGCTTTCCATACCTTTTTATCCTGCAAAGGAGAAACGGGGTAAATGACCAGTTCCTGTCTTTCGTTTCGTTTTTAGGTCATTGTCAGGGCAGGCTCCTTAAAACTTAGTCATTCTTACGACAACAGTATTCTAGCATCGGCAGGGAAACCACAGGCATCGGGGGTGCGGGGCGGGGAGGCCGGGAAGCAGGTCGTAAATTACGCGTCTCTACCCTACGTGAACGCGTGCGTAAGAATAGATAGATGAGCTCCCAGTAGGACTCCCAGAGTAAACGATACGTCTCAACTATCACATAATAACTTATTTCCTTTGATGAGCTCGGCCTCACAGCGCAAACCCCACGCCGAACACTGAGAAGTGCTTACGATGCATTCTTTTTTGGACGCAGGTGGTACAGAAGGAAGGAAGGGGGGGGAGGGGAAGGCGCAGGGGGTACAAGATACGAGTATATTCTATATCGGGTTTGACAGACATGAAAAGGACAAATCACTGCAACTTCTACCGTATCCCCTATGTTGCGAGAAATGAATCTGTTCTGACCCGGGATGGGAAAGATGCAATGCGCATGCGTTACCGAGGCTCTCAAATCGATTTAAAAAACCATTAGCGTCTTCTGTGGGGTGGAGAGTGGTCGGCTTGGCCTGGTGAGATTCAGAAGTTCCTGGGGACACCTGGTCACCCGGCGGCTGGAGAAGCCGCCCGTGGAGCCTCCGGGGCCGCCCGCACTAACCGCGCACCTGTAGGTTTGCAGGGACGCAGGGGAGCCCCGGCCCCCCCCTCCCCCTTCGCCCTTTGGCCGCCTGGCTTCCGGGTCACGTGCCAAGCCGGCCCTCTCGCGAGACTGAGGAGTTGGCCGCGGGTGCGCCGCCACCGTGGGGACCGGAGGCCTGCCGCCAACGTAGCAGCCTCGCGACAGCCAGTGGCCGCAGCCTCTCCGGCAGGTGACCGTCAAGCCAAGGGCGTAGCCCCCTTTAGGGACAGACAGAAGGACAGAGAGACAGAAGGGGGGGCGGCTCATGCTCTCTCGCTGGCTCGCCTTTAAACCCGAAGCTACTTCGGTTCACTTGCTCAACCCCGGGCGTTTGCTTGCTGGAAGTTTCTAGTCGCCGAGCCGCTCTGAGGGAGGCGTCTGGTCAACCCCGGTTGGCTGAGAGGAGCCATCTTTGGGGCCGCTGGACACAGGCCCAAGCCCTTAGCACCTGCCCGTTTCTGTCCCTGTCCCTGTCCCTTCGGCTCCCAGAAGACACCCTGGTCTTAGATTCGTAAATGTCGAGAAAAATTGAGGAGGTTCGAGGCGACCGCCTAGTTACCGAAAGCCAAACGAGACAAGAAAGAGGCCCGATTTCCTTCTTGGCCTTCGGATGGGGTCTCGTCCACAGACACTCCCAGCCAGTGATTTCTCCCGACTGTTTCTGCACCAGAAAAGAAGGAACGCTGCGCTGCTCTAAGGCATGAGTGGCCACAGGCTACATGGCCTCACGTTGTCCCCAAGGGTCCGCAAGGGGCGGGAAACCTCGCTCCAGAGGCAAACGCAGTCCAGTCTCCGTGACCTGCAGAACACGTGAGAACATACAGAAGCCGGAGCCACGGGCAGCACAGGGTCTTTGGTGAGGAAGGCGCTAAAACCCTAAGACGCACATCTCGGAATTCATGGAAAGATGGGAATTTTCGCCCTGCGACCAGCTAACGCCGAGGCAAGACCCTCGTTCGTGAAGCGCCAGGGTCCACAGTGCTCATTAACGAGGGAGACGGCAGGGAGAAGGCGGGTGGATGCAGGCTTTTGTGCGTGGCCCCCGGGCTGGAATAGGACGTCCAGTCCAGACCTTTCCAGGCCACTGAGCACGGGCCCCAGATAAAAACGCGTGTGTGCTGAGCGTGCACGGAGGGGGGGGGGTGCGCGCGTGCATGCGTGTGCGTGCCCCCGTGGCCGCTCTCGGGCCATGACATGTTGCCAGGGCCAGTGTTTGGGGCGAGGTGAGGACCCATAACCAGAAAAGGACCACCGAATACTCAACAGAGTCGGGACACGGGAACACGTCAGTGACATTCGGGCGCTCAGTCCACCTGGTGCGCACTTGGCCTTCCTCGTCCAGATTTTGTTAGTCTCCCGGGCGGGGTGGGGGGGAGGCGACCAGTGGCAAAGTTTTCACGAAAGGCACAGTGTGAACCATGGACGGGCCAGGATGCTCCAGGTAGACTGAGGGCCGAGGCGGGAGCCCGGGGAGGGGGGAACACGTGTCTAGCTGCCTTCCGTGGCCCTGTGTGTGGTGGGGACAGGGACAGACCTGCTCCCCGCAGAGGTGGCCGGACTGGGCCACGGAAGGAGCAGGGCCACGAGGGGCATGCTGTCGAAAGAAAAGAAAAAGAAAAAGGCAAGCAGCTACGTGGCGGGGGGGGGGGGGGGATGTCACTTCAGGCTGAGATGTCCAGGGCCACGGTCCAGCCCAGCGTGGGCGCCCAGGCCTGTGGAGACAAGCAGACCGGAGGGTTTCTCCTGGGAAGGCTCCCCGAGGCCTCTAGGAATCTACAACACAAAAAGAAAGAAAAAGACGGTTTAGAGGAAGGCAGGCGGTCAGGGGGGGCCACTCTGTTTCTCAGAATGCACCACCCGGGAGGGGGGACAGCTTCAGAACAGTGGGGCTGTCACCACAGGGCACGTCTGAGATAAGGAACTTTCACGGTTTCACTTCCCACTTTCCCTGGGGAACCCGCCTTTCCTTCAGGGGTGAACAGAGGCCCGCATGGGAGACGCTGCCCCCACCCGCCCCGACCCCCTCTTTCTAAGGGGGGAAAAAAAAAAATGTGACCAGGTTCCCAGGAGGGCGCGAGGCATTTCAAGGCCCGGTTCTGGATCCTGTCCCCGGCTGACCCTCTCTGTGCTTTACAAAAGTGTAAAATCTTGGCAAGAAAAGGAAAACCTGTCACTTTAATGTTGACTCAGCAATAAACAGTGAAAGTTCTTCATCTTGAGGGGGCAGAGGAGGAGAGAGAGAGGCGGATTCTGGAAGCCCTCGGGAGCACACAGGGCAAGAAACAGAGAAGGTGGCATCATTTTAAAGGGTGGGGGCGGGGAAGGGCAGGATTTTTAAAAAGCATTTGGCCGGAAAAGTTCCCCGTTACTGAAGACAAAAGAGTTAAACACCCGTATCACACAGAATAATTTTCTCGGAAAGGTGAAGAATCATTTAAAATACACAACACTGAGAAAAATACGTTTATTAGAGAGGCAGATACGAGGGTACAGCTGAAAGGTGCCAGACAGATTCTTTTCTTTTAGGGTAAGGAGAGCGAGACAATCATGTTGGCCGCATTCAAACAAAACTTACTCAGAGCCCAAGTGTCTACAATAAACTCAAGTGAGGAGGCAGCCGGCAGGGGGACCTAATCCTTCCGGCTTCCCCAGCGGTTACAAAAACAAAAAAGGTCATTAGGCAGCAGAATCACCAATAAAACAAACAGACAAAAGAGTAAAACGGTAAAACAACGAATTCAAGGCATCCTTTTAGTTCTTAGCATCCTTTTAGTTCTTAAATTGCAGTATATACAAATATAGTGGGGGGGG